ATTTGAAATAGTCTGTAAACTTTATAATTTAATTAATTTATAGTCAAATTGTTGTATTTCACCACCCATATTAGTTTACCACATAAAAGTAGCTTTTTCACGTAATATACGTAAACCATACTTCTCCCATTCACTGGCAATTAACCAAAGTTCAGGAGCACTTTCTAAACATGACATAATTGCAGCGCCCTTCCAGGCTATCATAGCTGCATCCATTTCCTTAACACAAACATTCACCTCAAAAGGCAATTGATCCATGGAACGATTGTGATTAGTGGTAGCCGATAATTGTAGGGTAATTTTTTGTTCTAGCCATTTAGAGAAACCGGGTATTTTACTACCTCCACCCACCAATAAAATGCAGCCATACATTTTACGTTTCATGTCGTCTGAGCTGCAACGTTCTATACTGCGCACAATGGCTAGATCGAGGGCTACAATTTGTCCATTGGTGGAGGAATAGTAAAGTTCTTCATCTTTTTCGGTATTACGCAAGTTATTAGAACGTTCTTCTACTTCATAGTTGTCTACCACAACAAGTTCATCATCGGCAGTTTCGCCAGTAACCGGCATGACACCTTCTAGCAACTGATCACCACGACCATTACGCACCCTGCCGGTTTCTCTTATGTACTCAGCATCAAAGCAGTCTTCTGGATCGGATTGTTGACTATTACGATACTGCAAGCGTACTAAACGCTGTTTTCCCGTTATATTTAAAAGTTCAGTGTGAAATAGTGACAAGGGAGCTACTACACATTCATCACCCAATTGAAAAGTGTAACGTAACCTTTTTTTAGGTTTAGACACCTACATTTTTAAACGAATATTGCCATTATTTCTTTACCAAAAACTACTTACTATTTACCTCAAAATACTTCTCCTGAGCTCCACATATTTCCAAATTTAAATGACAGAACTTCTCCTTTAAATTCATTAATAAAACTGCATCATCATAATCATCCTCAAGATTACAATCCTTATAAGGAAAACAACATTTGCGTAGCAAAGCATAAAATACTTGTGTCACATCACCACCACCATAGCCTAAACGCACTCTTGTATCAGGCTGTGAAATGCCATCTTCCACACAGGATATGGAACATTTTTGATCACCCACATCGACAACACAAGCATAACCTAATCCTGCACCAAATGTGGCGGCCACATGATCCTGCAGAAGGAAACAGGCGCGAAATTTTAATCGTGTTAATAATAAAGTCACTAGTTCTCTAAGAACACTTCGATTGTAGACATCCGGCACAACCAAAACGGCTCCATATTGTACCAAACTTTTGCGGGGTATTTCCATACGCTCATGTATAGCGTAAGACCAAATAGCTTCTAAATCTGACAGGACAGATGTCAAAGATCCTCCTACATTAGAGTGTAGATTCAGCTCACCTCTTTTCATGGGAAAATGTATATTATAGTCGCCAACTTCATTGAAATTAATTTTAAGCAAATCTTTATCAAAAATATTGTCCGCCAATTCATCGACCTCCTTTTTCACTTCAGTATCTTCAGTTTTTATAGCTGCCTCCAAGGGCAATTCCTCTGGCACAGTACGTCTATTAAATGTGGCAATTTGTTGTGGTGGCGTGGCAATACGCAATCTTTTCAATCCACCACTGCGTTCTTCGTGTTGTGGAATATGCGATTGTATGGCATGGGATACTTGCAATCTACTTTCCTCAAATTCCTGCATAATTTCATTTTGTTTGTCGTTGGCTGGTATGGAAGGTAAAAGAGGATCGTGATGCCGTAATTTTGGGTTATTCTGTGTTGTTTGTTTACGCCTTCGTCCTATAGCATGAAGTATTGTTAAGGGATTTAGATCACTGGCACGTCCTATCCGAAGATTAAGAGAGCCGGGGTGAATTACAATTATTTTTTGTGCCTGCATTTTTATAATTTTCACGGAATTAAATATTTTCCGTTTTTCAATTCTTGCCGTTATGTTTATAACTGCTTCTTTACATTGGTAAACAAGAAGTCACTGTAAATTGATGACACTTGTCTAAATGATGCAGCTATCATTTATGATGAATAATGATGTACATTAAAAAAAAAAAACAAATTTTGAAAAAAAAAGGTTTTTTGTAAAAAAGGAGAAATGTTTATGTGGCCTCCGATAGGTTAGTGGTTAGTGTTCTAGTTTGGTAGACCGGAGGTGCCCGAAGAGGCCTAGGTGTATTTTTTTTAGGATTTGATTTATATATGTGCATAATCCTTTCAAACTAAGTAACTAACTAAGCACAACTAATTCTCTTTAACCTTAAATTTTTGGTTGAAAAAATAAGATTTTGTTTAATTTAATTTTTCCTGTCATAATTAAACTAATTATATTGTGTTTATTTCAACATTATTTTTTTCAAGTGTATTTTAAGTTCGAACAATATGTTTGAACAAACGTTTATCATCTGGCAACGACAATGGTTAATCAGCTGAAAAACACATTTTGACATTTGTGGCCTTGATTAAAAAAACACTCCGAGAAATAACAACAAAAAACTATTTAGTTTACTCACTGTTATTTACATTTTATTTTTCAATGAGCGAGCACATACCAAAAAATAACAAGTGAATTAAATTAACTACAATTATTTTAGTACAATATAAATGAATTAATAAAATCTAATAAAAACAAACGCTCAAATAATAAAACAAGAAATTACGAAAGTTAACGTGTATGTGCCAACATATGGTTAAAGAAAAAGTTTAACAAAAAGGCGAGCAAATAAAAAGACAAATAAATTAATTACTTTAATCTAGAGTCCGATAAAGTGCAAAGATAATTCCCTAAATTTATTAATTGTTTTATAATATGGGTTCAAACATTAAAGATACGTTTTTGGCAGCAGAAGTTAAAGCATGTTCCACAAGCAAAGCAACATTGGCCACACAATTGGCTACGTACCGTGTGTATGTGGTAACCTGGAATGTGGGCAGTAGATTTCCAGACAATATTTCATTACGCAACCTGTTGGGACTTAATTCTGCTGTAGAAGATCATCATTTACCCGATATATATGCTCTTGGTTTGCAGGAAGTCAATGCCCAGCCGCAACAGCAGGTATTGGGTCTATTTAAAGAAGATCCTTGGACCGCTAAAGCAAAAGATTTACTTAAGGAGTTTGATTATGTTGCCATAAAAACCGAACAAATGCAGGGTTTGTTATTAACCATGTTTGTACGACGTGTACATGTCGCCCATTTGCGTGATATTGAAGCAGAATTTACCCGTACTGGTTTTGGCGGCATATGGGGCAATAAGGGAGCTGTTAGTATACGTTTTAATATCTATGGCTGTGGCTTAACCTTTATCGTGGCCCATTTGGCTGCTCATGATCATCACTTGGAAGAGCGCATTGAAGATTTCAAACAAATTATGGATAATCATCATTATCATGTAGCACGCTTTAGAGAAATTCTTGATCATGATTATGTTTTTTGGTTTGGTGACTTAAATTTCCGTTTAATGGGCGATGATTCGGCCCAGGCTGTGCGCGATAAAGTAGTTAAGGATGAAGCTTTGGAAGAACTCATGCAGCGTGATCAACTGAATCATGTAAGAGAGGTAACACAAGAAGCTTTTCCTCTATTGCATGAACGTAAACCAGCCTTTCCGCCTACCTTTAAATTCAAAGAAGGCACTTCGGAATATGATCTAAAGAGAAGACCGGCCTGGACAGATCGTATTTTATATGCAGTACAACCCCTCAATCGTCAACCCAATATGCCTTTAGAAATTGAGCAATGCGCCTATAAATCCCACCCGGGTTACAATATTAGTGATCATAAACCAGTAACAAGTGAATTTACCATTAAACTCTATCCCAATTATCGTGCTCCCTGTGTGGAATTCCAGGATATTACACTATGGAAGATTGGCGATGAAAATACAGTGGAGTATAAAAAACCCATGGACTTTGAGGAACGTGATCATGACTGGATTGGTATCTATCGTGTAGACTATGCCAGTCTTAAGGAATATGTAGCCTATGAGTATGTTAATCAAGCCGATTCGCCACCCTCTTCTCCAGACTCTGTAGTAGATCCATTTTGGGATGATGGCCCCACACGTCGTCATGGTCATTCACATCGCCATAAACGTGAACGTTTGAGAAGACAACAGGAAGCCAATGAGGAAATAGTACGTCTTGATTTTGCCGATGATGTAGAACTAAAAGATGGCGAAGAATATCTTTTGATATATTTCCAAAACACCGGGCTGCGAGGTGTTACCTCGGTGGCGGGCATTAGTAATGTTTTTAAGGCAGTAAAAAGAACGTCGTCGCCTAATTTTGGCAATGTTGATTAACATCGTTATTTACTTGCAATTATTTAAGAAAAGCATTTAAGGCTTTTTCTCGTGGTTATTTGCAATGTTTTTTGTTTTTAGTTTGAATTTGTTTATGTCGTAACTAACTAATATTTTTGTTAATAGTTTAAAGAAAGTTTTATTTTTTAAGTTTAAATAATGACAAAATTATTATAAAAAGTTGTAAAATATAATATTGTAACGTCTTTGTGTTAATGAACACACATACCAAGTTAATTTTAAAATTGAATCATACTTTTGTTAAGTTCAATTATTATAGTTGTGTCACAAATAAATAGTTTATAATAATACTTTGTGTGTTTGAATATTGTCAACATAAAGATAAAAGTTCACAAATAATAGAAAATGTATAAAAATAATGAGAAAATGAAACAAATAGAAATGTTTAATATGGGAAAGATTTATTAAAAAACCTACAAATCTGGAGAATACGAGAATAGAAAAATATTGCTTAAAAAATTTATGTAACATCTAAGTTTTCCTGTGGTCATTGATTTGTTCTTAATATTACATACTTAGTTTTCAAAGAGTCAAACAAAATTTTCAATATTCTCCTTCTATAGTATTTAATTACTAAAACATCTATAAATAGTTTGTATCTTCAACATGATCTAACAATATTTTATACAATTAAAAAAATATGATTCAGAATTTTTTTTTCAATTTCGTTAAACAAAACTTTTACAAGCGTATTAAATTAAGCGTCTTATTCAAATGATAGAACAATAAATATACTCTTACTCTTCTCACATTTCACATCACCCCTTTATGAAATTTTCGTGTGCTTTTTTTAAATTTGAATTTATCTTAATTGGTTATTTGACATACAAATTGCATTTAGAATATATCCAATAAGTATTAAAATGACACTGTTTGTTTGTTACTCTTTCAGGGTAAAACTTTTTAATCGATTTACTTGGATGGCAACACCCTAGCTCATTAAATATGCGTATTATTGAGAAAATATTAAAAATTACTTCCAGTTTTCGACCAAATTTAATGATTATATGAATAAGATTTAAAAAGAAAACCGACTTTGACTGATCGTATTTTATATGTTGTCAATAGTCAACCCAATATGCCTTTAGAAATTGAGCAATGCGCCTATAAATTCTATCCGGGATACAATATTAGTGCTGCCAGTGACACGTTAATTTAGTCTATAGTCTAGTCTATAGTCCAGTCTATAGTCTAGTTTATATTCTAGTCTATAGTCTAGTCTGTAGTCTAATCTATAGTCTAGTCTATAGTCTAGTCTATAGTCTAATCTATAGTATAATCTATAGTCTAATCTATAGTCTAGTCTAGTCTAGTCTATAGTCTAGTCTATAGTCTAGTCTATAGTCTAATCTATAGTCTAATCTATAGTCTAATCTATAGTCTAGTCTATAGTCTAGTCTATAGTCTAATCTATAGTCTAGTCTATAGTCTAATCTATGGTCTAGTCTATAGTCTAATCTATAGTCTAATCTATAGTCTAGTCTATAGTCTAGTCCATAGTCTAATCTATAGTCTAATCTATAGTCTAGTCTATAGTCTAGTCTATAGTCTAGTCTATAGTCTAGTCTATAGTCTAGTCTATAGTCTAGTCTATAGTCTAGTCTATAGTCTAGTCTAGTCTAGTCTAGTCTAGTCTATAGTCTAGTCTATAGTCTAGTCTATAGTCTAGTCTATAGTCTAATCTATAGTCTAGTCTATAGTCTAGTCTATAGTCTAGTCTATAGTCTAGTCTAGTCTAGTCTAGTCTATAGTCTAGTCTATAGTCTAGTCTATAGTCTAGTCTATAGTCTAGTCTATAGTCTAGTCTATAGTCTAGTCTATAGTCTAGTCTATAGTCTGGTCTATAGTCTAGTCTATAGTCTAGTCTATAGTCTAGTCTAGTAGTCTATAGTCTAGTCTATAGTCTAGTCTATAGTCTAGTCTATAGTCTAGTCTATAGTCTAGTCTATAGTCTAGTCTATAGTCTAGTCTATAGTCTATAGTCTAGTCTATAGTCTAGTCTATAGTCTAGTCTATAGTCTGGTCTATAGTCTAGTCTATAGTCTAGTCTATAGTCTAGTCTAGTCTATAGTCTAGTCTATAGTCTAGTCTATAGTCTAGTCTATAGTCTAGTCTATAGTCTAGTCTATAGTCTAGTCTATAGTCTAGTCTATAGTCTAGTCTATAGTCTAGTCTATAGTCTAGTCTATAGTCTAGTCTATAGTCTAGTCTATAGTCTAGTCTATAGTCTAGTCTATAGTCTAGTCTATAGTCTAGTCTATAGTCTAGTCTATAGTCTAGTCTATAGTCTAGTCTATAGTCTAGTCTATAGTCTAGTCTATAGTCTAGTCTATTGTCTAGTTTATAGTCTCGTCTATTGTCTAGTCTACAGTCTAGTCTATAGTCTCACCCAAAATTTCATTATGATCACTTATTATAATATATCCAAAAATCTTTGTAAAATTCAAAATATGCTTCAATTCATAAGGAAAATGATTTGCAAATATGTATCTGATCGACCACAACTTGAAAACCCATATATATTTCACTAAAAATTTCGTTTTATACATAAAAATTTTAAATTTATTAAATTTTTAAAATCTTAAATTGTGATCACCCACTACTCTCTATCTGAAATAAACAACTCTATGAACACTTGTGTTACTGATCAAAAATCGTATGTTCTATGAAAAATTTCCACAATCTCATGTTAACTTTTCAACAAAAGTGTCTCAATCTACGATCATTTTATATTTCTCACCATATAAAGGATTTATTATACTAAAATTTATTTCAAATAAATCTCTTCGAAATAATCATATTTCATAATTTTACGATAATAACTGTCTATAAATTTATCATTACGGTTATTTTTTCTTTGTTTTGTGTAAATAATATTTCGAATTAAAAACATTTTAGATAAGAAGAGGTAACCATATGACTAAGCTAACGTAAATATCACTTGCACTGACACAAATACTAATGATAAGAATATTTACTGTGTAGTTAATTCCCAATGGATCGTGTGTAGAGAAGAACTAATGTAATGAGAATTTGTCCGATTCATAAATTTGTCCACACTTATAAAGATATTAAAATTAAACATTATTTATAGGTTGTTCACATTCATTTAAAGTTATTTTAAGTATTTGTAAGAGCTCGTATAAGATAAGGGATCAATTCAATTGTGGGTATATAATTTTCAATTGATCTTAATAAGATTAGTCTGTTAGATAAGTGTATCGATAATCATAATCATAAGTTATCATAGGTGTTTATTATTATTTATTAAAATTAACAATTAATTTAATTAATTTCTTTAAAATTGTTGCTGTTTATGTTGCTGCTTTAAAAGATCAAAAATATCTGCTGAGAAAGAAAAACATATCGTCATTGCCACAATTTCCTTTATAAATCGTGCCGTTGTATCTAAAAATAGAAAAAAATGTCATTAAAATAATTCTACAATTAAATAAACATTCAGTAAAAATACTTACATCTGTTGTGGGGTATGTATTCAAAATAAATATTTGTTTGATCTTGAAAATTATTAAAACAACAGTGTTTTTTTTAATACATTTCATTGTATATAGATTTTATTGTTTATGTTTTCTCACCAAAAAAACTTTCGTTGTAAAACAATTCAATTACATATTTATTTTAAAAATAAAATAAATAAAAAATACAATATTGTATAAATAATATATTTATTTTTTTTATAAATATTATATATAATCGTATGTAAATTATTAAAAGTTATTTGTTTACTTTTCCATATTAAGCAAATTTTAATTTTTATTAATTCAAGTTAAGTATTCAAATTTTTCAAAAAAAATCAGTCCTTTTTTAAATGAGACATTTTAAACAATGTCAATATTTAAATTTTTTTATAAATTTACCATATTATTTATTCGTAATTATTGTTTTTTTTTTTTTTTAATAAATATTTTAGTTATGAGTAAGTTAATGAATGGAGTATTGTTTGTTTATTTATAAAAGTATTAAACATTTTTATTTATTTTTTTAATTTAAATCTGGTTTTTGGGTTTTTAAAATTGAATTTCAATAAAAATTTTTTAAAAAATGTAATATTTTAGCTTTTTTGACTTAAATATTTAATCAGTTGCAAAAAGTCAGTATTTGAATTATGTAGTGCCTTGAGTGTTTTGAGTAAAAATGATGAAATGGCATTTTTATTTTCAATGGTCCATTTTTTGCTTTTAACTTATTTTGAAAATACATTATAATTTTGAAATACTAAATATAAATGATCAGTAGGATTACGACTTTATTATAATATTTAAGAATATTTAAGAAAAAGGGAAAGTTATATGGTACATGGATCACAACAGTTTGTCTCAAGCAGTGTAAACTTCTTCTAATTATGAAACGGTAGAAAAGTTTGTCAGTCTGAATATGTTTGAATGTCGGGACAGACTGTCGAGAGTTTTTACGTGAGCACCTGCCGTGTCGGCCTTATCTCACGGTGGTCTTTTTCATCCACAGGGTAGACTTGAGAACGGTCTACCATCGCAGCCTTTTTCTTCAATGAAGAACTCAGGTGGCAATTTTTGCACATTGGCTATGACTGGTCCATGCGCAAGTACTTTGCTGGAGTACTCGAGCTATCTAATCTCTTGCGAAAGTAGTCACGTTGGGGAAAGACATGTGTCATGAGCAAGCTCAATCTACCCCGACATAATGTCGCCCAACCACACTACTATGGCTCTGTTGATTCGGCAACAGCACCTAGAGACGTAACCGGTGGACCGAAGCACGATCCATCAATAAGCCGTAGACATTGTTCTTACTCACAGTGACACGCTGTGGTAATTCTGAACAGAGTATACTCTGAACATATCTGGACAAGGAAGGAAAATTAATCGGTATCACTTGTATATGATACCTTTCATCCATCATCATTCATCCCAGCACATATCCCATTTATTCGACACATTCATAAGAGAAAAACATACGACACACTCATTTAGATATACGGGTGGGTGAGGCCCGCATACCTCTACATTCATTTCGTATCATATACAATTGACTCCAACCCATTTCCAACGCTTAGTCCCACAGTCACTTCTCTGTGGGGTATCTGTTGTTTTCGGCAACAGCACCGAACTTATCCCGAAATATTGACTACTACTCTTCCCGCGAATTTGGGTTTAAACCACAGCCACTACGTGGATCCCGAAGGAACCTCAACCAACTGACCAGCCAGGACATAGTCCTGCGGGCAACTGGCCACCCGTAGTACCAGATTATGCGGTGCTCTGGTCTGACCTCTGGCAATCTATGCAAGGACTAAGCCAGGCAGTAGACTGTAACCAATTTTTCAGTCCCGGTCAGACTGGAGGTATTGGCCACCTCTTTATACCCCGGGATTGCAATAACTCCTAGGCGGAGGTCTCGCCAAGGTAACATGCCCCCGGGGGGAATGAATGTCGGGACAATCTGATAAATTTAATTTCAAAACGATCAAAGAAGTTTGAAAAAGTTTAAAAACAGTACGTAAAGTTTAGGGACAAGCGATCAAAACCATCTCTATTTAGACAAGATGAAGCAGATCAGTTCATAGAACATTTATTACGAATATGATGTACTCTAAAGTTATGAGCATCTTAAGTTTTATAAGCCACTTTTTAAAAACTCACTTCATGACAGTTTTTCTGCTTTGTTAGCTAGAGCTAGAATAAGTTACAAATGTGTTTCCCTTCAAATCTATCATTTATGTACGTCGCAACATCATTTGCTCGTGGAAACGAAAATTTGCCTATAACTCAATTACCGCATACGTGAAGGAGTAAAATTGATCGTAATATTTCTTTTTGAGATTATTACAATCGATATTGGGCAAGAAATGCATTGCATTTTTGCTTTAATTTTCGATATCGTAATGTATTCGATACGAAAGCTTCTTCGATCATGTATGCATCAATTCAACCCCTAGTTTCGCCTGGATAGTCATCAGAGAAGTCTCTCTAAATTCCAAATCCTATATTTTGACTCTCCTCCATGGCAAGTGCAGAAAGTTCAACTTTCAAAGACCCTAAGGTAAGTTTTACAAATTTTCAACTGTTATTCAATGGACCCAAAAAGTGTTTAATAAATTGATCGTGGATTACCAAAATATTTTATAATAATTTCCTTTGAATTAAAAACTTTTCAGTTTTTTTCGCCTTTAGCATAGGACAATAAATTAAGTTCTGTATACCATACACCGCCATAATGCGTTTGTGCTGATGTTTATAACGCACCCAAATATTGGTCCTACACCGATCGACTCAGTGTCATTTTCTGAGCCTATTATATTAAAATTTTAATTTTTCTGATTGATTGATGCAAAGTATCATTTAAAATCGATCGTGATGCAAATCTATATAGCTGTGATCATAAATCTCATTTATAGAGTACCGTGCAATCTTTTTGAAAATTACGAATAGATATTGGGTTTCAGAGCAGCTCTATCCTTTACAAAAGTTTAGTCTACTCTCTGGATTTTGTATATCAAAAAGAATTTTCCTTATAGGAATCGTGATAATATTCATTTTCGATATTGAAAGTCGTAATATCGAGTAAAAAATTACGATCGCAATCAGTTATATTACCGCTATTCCGTATTTTGATTACGTTTACGTATTCTAACAAAAAACGCAATATTAGTGTATTTTCAAAATGTATTTTTAAAAAAATTTAAACACAAATTTATACTTTTTGATTATAAAAAAGTTTTCTTTTTTTCACAAAACTTTATTATACAGTTAAAATATGTACATAGTTTTACTATAAAAATATTTGCAATTCTTTTAATGAGTTTTTTTTATTTTGTTTTATAAATTTAGCTGCTTGTCAGTCTTAAAAATTAGCAGCTTAATAAGATTTTATTTTATTTTTAATAATTATACATACTATTTGGAGAGATTATGATTTATTATTAATTTATTTTATAATAATTTTTCTTTTTTGCTTAACTATTTTCTTTTTTATTTGGCTAAAAACTATGATTTCTTAAAATTGTTGATTTGTTAAGTTTTTTTATATAAATAAATTTTAATTTATTGTATTGTGTGTTTGAGATATTTTTGCATGAATTAATTTTAATTTACATATTGATGACATGCTGAGCAAGGTCATATGTGTTTGTCAGGTGTGTTTGGTTTATAAAACCAGATTGGGAGAAATAAATTTAAATGTTTTTTTGAATTGTTTATACATTAACTCATAACTAATATTTGTTCTTAAAAGTTATAATAATAAACCGGTTTTTAGAAATGAAATTCATTTATCAAGTTTATTTGAGGCGACTTTAATTGTTATTTTTTTGCAACAATTAAAGAAACCAGGCATGGAAAATTCAGTACTATTGCATTTTTTCAGTACTTTTTTACGTTGAAAATTTTTCAAACTTTTGTTCTTAATACGATTGTGAACAGGCTAGTAAATAGATTAGTCAATAGACCATGTCATAGACTAGCTGATAGGCAAGTAAATAGGCTGGCCCATAGACTAGTTAGAGGACTAGTCCATATACTAGACAATAAACTAGTCAGTAAACTATTCAACAGGCTAGTCTATATATAAGTCTAAAGACAAGTACACAGACTAGTCAATAGACTAATCAATAGTTAGGCTAGTCAACATACTAGTCCACACACTAGGCAATATACTAGTACATTGACTAGTTAAAAGACTAATCTATGTATAGACTAGTTAAAATACTAGTCCATAGACAAGTCAATAGACTAGTCGATTGTGAACAGGCTAGTAAATATATTAGTCAATAGACCATGTCATAGACTAGCTGATAGGCAAGTAAATAGGCTGGCCCATAGACTAGTTAAAGGACTAGTCCATATACTAGACTATAGTATAGTTTACAAACAAGTCAATAGACTAGTACATAGACTAGAAAATAAACTAGTGAGTAAACTATTCAACAGGATAGTCGATATATAAGTCTAAAGACAACTACACAGACTAGTCAATAGACTAATCAATAGTTAGGCTAGTCAACATACTAGTCCACATACTAGGCAATATACTAGTACATTGACTAGTTAAAAGACTAATATATGTATAGACTAGTCAACAAACTAGTCCATAGACAAGTCAATAGACTAGTCCACAGATAAATCAATAGACTATTCCACAGACAAGTCAATAGACTAGTCCACAGACAAGTCAATAGACTTATCCACAGACAAGTCAGTAGATTAGTCCATTGACTAACCAGTAGAGTAGTCAACTGACTAATCCGTAGACAAGTGAACAAAGTAATCCACAGACAAGCAAATAAACTAGTCTATAGACTACATAAAATTGAGTACCATTTCAAGATTTCAATTTTCCATGCCTGAAAGAAATTGTATTAGAAGAATAAGAGAACTATAGATATTTCTCAGATTCGAATAGAATTATTGTTCAAATATTCTCATTGTTTTAAATACCGTTACACATACTAGGGGTTTTATTCATAATAATTTATCAAAGGTTTATAAAACAAAAATTCATGCAAAATTATTATTTAAAAAAAAAAAAAAAAATTATTAAAAAATTCTTCAAAAATTTTAAATAATTTTTTAAATGTATTTCGTTTTAAAAATTTGTAAAATTCCTTCATGTCATCAATATAATGTTTATCTTTTCATTTACATTATGGAATATGTATTTATTTCTATTATAAATATTTTTTTGTGTATTTTGTGTGCGTTAATTTGTTTATTTTTTTTATTATAAACATATTAATTTATATATTTGCAATAAATTAAACATAATTGATATATTTTGCTGTTTTTTATCATTGAACACTTAAATTTATTTATTTCATTTTTATTTTTTTGTAAAAATTAAACTTCGTTGTTTGTTTTTTTTTCATGTTCTTTTTAAAAAAAAAAGTATAAATATTTTCGTTGTTTTTAATGAAAAGAAATTGTTTAATACAGTTTGTTTGTTTTTCTTGCGTTTCTTTGTTAAAAATTTCTTAAAATAAACAAAAAAAAAATTAAATAATTTATTTAAAATAATACACAAAAAACATTAAACAAAAATTAACAATATATAATAATAAAATTAAAAAAAAATTAAAAATAATTGTTCATTAAGTGAAAATTGTACTTTAAAATAGTTTCTCGTTTTTGTTCTTCAACTTAAAATTTTAAATTACAAAATAAATTAACAAAATGTGTAAAAAAAAAGAAATTTAGCAAAAGTAAATAAACAATATGTATAATAAATTTAAAAACAAGAAGAAAAGAAAAATAATAAGACTCTAAATGGTGTGTGAGCGGCGTTGTATGTACATATAAAAAAAATATAATTATATTAATGGTTTGCAAATTAATTTGTTTATGCTAAATTAACACAAAAAAATATCTTAAAGCTTTAGTAAACAGTAGAGCTATGGGAGATTTTGTTTAAACATCTTTTTTTTAATTAAATGATCTACACATGACTTCGGGGAATTTGTTTATTTGTTGTTTTTTTCGGTAGAATTTTCTTTTTTTTTTTGTTGTTTGTACATAACAAATAATATTTTAAAAGTATTAGGGGGAAAATGAAATGTATTAGAAGTTAATTAATGTTTTGGGGGAAAGTTCCAGAATGAAATTTACTTCGGGGCATTTACGCTGTATTTACACTAACTCAGTTCCTTGCTTAATTGAGAGATAAAAAGTCTGTTTAAGGCAGTTATCGGTTAAAAATTCTCTTCAGGAACTGTTTTTTGTCGAATCGTATAATAAGTAATATACCAAATCAATCAGAAAAGCTAACTTGTCTCTCTCTCTCTTTATAGATAGCAGATTTAGGCAAATAACTCTCTTGCTTATATTAACTTTAAAGCAGCTAATAGCAAAGATCTCCCTTGCCTTTGCATCTGCGACTAATAAGCTCTTTGCTTAATGTGAAAGGTTTTAAAAAGATCTGAACATGCAAGGATCGTCAGATTGAAAAGCTCTGAGAAAACTTTCATTTGTATTAGACACTTTTCAGTTGTTCCTTTACAAATATCTGGTTTAAAGAAACCAAAGTTTCAACCAGATATCAACAGATCGACTAATTGTTTTTGTATATTTATTTTTTTTAGGTATGAAAGAAAAGAGAGCTTTTTGCCGGTATCTGCTTTAAAGTGGCCTTATTATATAAAGAATATCAAGTTGAAAAGATTTCATTGAAACAGCTTTAGTTTTCAAAAGGGTTCTTTGTCGATATCTGTTTTAAAGAGACCTTACCATTTCATATTTCCTAAAGACTGGGAATAGATTGACCCAATGAAATATTAAAAAGATCGATCGGTGAAGCACATATTAAAGATTGTGATCATAAAGTTGATTTATGTTATCCGCTATACATTAGACGCTTTGAAAATATTCAAGATTAATCTAAATTAGACACTCTTCAGTTTTAAAAAGTGTTCTTTGCCGATATCTAGTTTTAAGAGATTTATAATGTAAAGATCATTATGCTGTCATCTATATGAAATACATCTCTGGATTCTAGGCTGAATCTGATTTATAGAGGATCATATGTCCCTTAAAAACAAAAATCAAGAATACAGATTACTTAAGGAGTGCTAACAGGAAAAAATTAGAATATTCTCTGCATTTTAAAGAGCTATCTTGAAGTCTTAAAGCAAAACTTAAAGGTTGCGATCATGATAATCTGAAGAGGATCATATGACTCTTTTGAATCAAGTAAAATTAAAAAAAATGATTGCACACAACCAACTTTAAACAACTTTTGAGGTAAATTGACTGAAAGGAACTAATTAGAGAAAAAAGTAATGTCTAGAAGTCAATTTACTTCTAACTAAAAGGGTCAAATCTTTTTCATATAAGGTGTTAGAATAAAAACCGAAGAACCATTGATGGGACTTGTTTTGAGTCAGTTTTCCTCTCAAAATATTTGTAAATACTTTGAAAGACTTACAAAAACAGTTTTAAACTAATCAATAGAAAATTTCAGAAGACTTTTAGTCTTTGCACTACCGGCTGCGTATTTTTTAGCCGCCCTTTATAAAGCATTTTAAATGATATCTAGACTAGGGAATATATACGGATAACTGGAAAAAAATGTTTCTTAAAGTTGCTGAAAATTTTTGTTAAAAAGAAGTCAATTAAGTCAAACTTTAGCAGGCATGTCATCATAAAACGATTCATGAAAAATTCCCATGAATCTTCTAAGCTTCTCTCTACCGAATCTATTCCAAGTTTTCGATTTTCAATCATTGATTTATAACGGAACTTTTGTGAAAACAAAACTTAATTCTTTAAATTTTAATAGAATATATCGAATACTTTAACAATTAATTTCCTTTCAGGGTAAATCTTGATGGACTCGGATGGAGGGAGTTTTTTTATTTTAGTGATTAAATTTTGAAATAAATTATTTGTAAAACACAAAGAATCTTGCTGTGTGGATTTGAAAGCCTACTTATGTAATGTGGTTTGGTAGTACGAAGGTTAAAACGCATCAAATTCAAGAACTATAATTTGCCCTTGAAACATATTTAAAACAAAATATTGCCTTTTTTAGCATAAATACCTTAAATGGTAAGAATAATTAGTTCGAAGCAAAAAGGAGTTTTTAACCTAAAAAAATATGTATACATTTTAAAAAGAAATCAGTTTTACTATAAACTTTTGTTCATATTTATTTTGTTAATGGTATGATGGTCTCCTTAGATATCACAAATTTTTGATTTTTTTTTTAGGTGATCCACATAAAGTGAATACAAATTTAAGGTTTTTTTTTTAACACAGACTTCAAATATGAATTAATTAAACAAAAGAATTTGGAAGTCCGACAGACAGACGGCCAGTCCAACAGACACCAAATGAATAACAAAGTAATAATGAAATTAATGAAAAAATATATAAATAAACCAGAACGTTTAAATTAAACATTGAAACTGAGTCAATATGAAAAAAAATTAAATTAATAAAAAAGAAAAAAACTAAGGAAGCCTTATAAAAAGAAAGAAAACGGAGAACTTGCAACGTTCCTTATAATTTTGGTTTTTGTTGTAGCTGCAGTTTGTTTATAAAAAATATGTATGTACTTTTGTTAGTGTTGATGTTAGTTGTTGGATTGCGGTTTTGGATACAAATGTATTGTAACATATGGGGCTATGGAAGTGTAGATGATGAGGTTTTGTGCGAGTGTCTTGTTGTCGTCATTTAATTAAAATCAAATCACATCACAATTCAACAGCCACAGAATTGATTTCAAATGTGGAGGCCACAAAAAAAAAAGAAAAGAAAAAACTTTACAACAAAAAAATATTGAATTCCTTATTGTAGGTTTATTGGTTGTTTGGTTGTTATTGTTTTCGGGCTGATGTTGTGTGGACTCTAATGTGTTTTCATTTGGAAACCCAGCAGCTGCCTTATCATTATATAAAGATGTTATAGTTTTTTTTTTTTCTTTCTCTCTCTGTTTTAGTTTTCTATACTATAATTTAAAAATTTAAAATTTTTAGTTTAAATCACATACAATATATACACAAAATACTTAGCAACACACAAGTCTACATAGAAAAATGAATTTAGTTTGTCTAAATGTGTGTTAATAAGTGTTTCTTAATTTTTCTTATGAATAATATGTTTTAGTTGAATACTGTTTTCAAGTATTATTTTGTTTTTTAATTATTATATTAAAATAACTTAATATCCCAGTTCGTCGTAATAATAGAAATTTATCATGATCATAATCATCATCAGCATCCTCCTAGTCATCAACTTTATATTATAACTTTATGTCGTTTGACTGCTTGAAGTCACTGTTGTTTGTTGGTTGATCGTGATCATGATCAGTTTTATAATTGTTTTTTTTTAGTTGTCATTGAGTTTATTATCATTTTACATTCTTTTATTCAAAGAAGTATAAATGAAATACTTTTGTAATGTTTCTTCATCTTTTTTTTGTTGTTGTTCTTCATTGTCTGCGAATTTTATTCCAATAATATTTCGTTGCCTGTAATTAAGTTTAAAAGAAAAGTTAATGACATCAAATAGAGTATAGTATTTAAATACCTATAAAAGTATGAGGATAAGAAAAAGGATGTAAAAAAATAGTTTACGAAATACGTATGTATGTATATAATTACACTCTTGAAACTATGAGAATTGAATACAAAACTAAACTTGTTTTTAAATAAAGAATATTCGTTACGAAAGAAACGGTTAAAAATCAACTTATTTTGCTAAACTAGGGTTTCCCGATAAAGTAGGACTAGACAATGGTAGACTAGAGTATGGTATAGATAATAGTCAGGAATATATACTAGACTATAGACTAGACTATAGACTAGACTATAGACTAGACTATAGACTAGACTATAGCCTAGACTATAGACTAGACTATAGACTAGATTATAGACTAGACTATAGACTAGACTATAGACTAGACTATAGACTAGACTATAGACTAGACTATAGACTAGACTATAGACTAGACTACTAGTCTATAGACTAGACTTATTTTGTTAAACTAGGGTTTCCCGATAAAGTAGGACTAGACAATGGTAGACTAGAGTATGGTATAGATAATAGTCAGGAATATATACTAGACTATATACTAGACTATAGACTAGACTATATACTAGACTATAGACTAGACTATAGACTAGACTATAGACTAGACTATAGACTAGACTATAGACTAGACTATAGACTAGACTATAGACTAGACTATAGACTAGACTATAGACTAGACTATAGACTAGACTATAGACTAGACTATAGACTAGACTATAGACTAGACTATAGACTAGACTATAGACTAGACTATAGACTAGACTATAGACTAGACTATAGACTAGACTATAGACTAGACTATAGACTAGACTATAGACTAGACTATAGACTAGACTATAGACTAGACTATAGACTAGACTATAGACTAGACTATAGACTAGACTATAGACTAGACTATAGACTAGACTATAGACTAGACTATAGACTAGACTATAGACTAGACTATAGACTAGACTATAGACTAGACTATAGACTAGACTATAGACTAGACTATAGACTAGACTATAGACTAGACTATAGACTAGACTATAGACTAGACTATAGACTAGACTATAGACTAGACTATAGACTAGACTATAGACTAGACTATAGACTAGACTATAGACTAGACTATAGACTAGACTATAGACTAGACTATAGACTAGACTATAGACTAGACTATAGACTAGACTATAGACTAGACTATAGACTAGACTATAGACTAGACTATAGACTAGACTATAGACTAGACTATAGACTAGACTATAGACTAGACTATAGACTAGACTATAGACTAGACTATAGGCTAGACTATAGACTAGACTATAGACTAGACTATAGACTAGACTATAGACTAGACTATAGACTAGACTATAGACTAGACTATAGACTAGACTATAGACTAGACTATAGACTAGACTATAGACTAGACTATAGACTAGACTATAGACTAGACTATAGACTAGACTATAGACTAGACTATAGACTAGACTATAGACTAGACTATAAACTAGAGTATAGACAAGACTATAGACTATACTTTAGACTATACTATAGACTAGACTATAGACTAGACTATAGACTAGACTATACACTAGACTATAGACTAGACTATAGACTATACTATAGACTAGACTATAGACTAGACTATACACTAGACTATACACTAGACTATACACTAGACTATACACTAGACTATAGACTAGACTATACACTAGACTATAGACTAGACTATAGACTAGACTATAGACTAGACTGTAGACTAGACTATAGACTAGACTATAGACTAGACTATAGACTAGACTATAGACTAGACTATAGACTAGACTATAGACTAGACTATAGACTAGACTATAGACTAGACTATAGACTAGACTATAGACTAGACTATAGACTAGACTATAGACTAGACTATAGACTAGACTATAGACTAGACTATAGACTAGACTATAGACTAGACTATAGACTAGACTATAGACTAGACTATAGACTAGACTATAGACTAGACTATAGACTAGACTATAGACTAGACTATAGACTAGACTATAGACTAGACTATAGACTAGACTATAGACTAGACTATAGACTAGACTATAGACTAGACTATAGACTAGACTATAGACTAGACTATAGACTAGACTATAGAGATATAGAATAGACTATAGACTAGACTATACACTAGGCTGTAGACTAAACTATAGACTAGACTATAGTATCGGCCAATTTTTTAAGTCGTATTTTTAAATAATGTTCATTACTGGGGTGAAGTCATTAGCTAATACATACTATTTTTAATTTTTAAACCTATTTATTTATATCAGGTTCGAGTCTGACTAGTATTACGTAATATTACTCAGATTTCAATAGCGGATGAAATATGGATTTTGAAGTAAAATAAGTGAATAATCAAATTTCCAATTAAAACACCAACTCATTCATACAATTTTCAAATTGCTATCAGAGAATAACGTAGGTTAAAAGAACAATACTTAAGAAAAATATATATACAAAATTTTCAAAAACTTATACATCATAAATAATTTCCTTATAATTTTCCTTGAGGAAATACAAAAAACAATTCACATCATTTAACATTTTAATGAAATGTTTCGATTCGAAAACAAACAAAAAAATACGCACATGTGAAAATGTATGCCAATTTTATGGTTCCATAATATCTTTTTTTCTTAATTCAAGTTATAAAATCTGAATTTTTTTTATAAAAAATGTTAAGTTTTGTTTCATTGTTTTTCCTGTTTTATATTAGGAAGACAACAGAAAATGTTTCATTACGGCATTTACGCATAAAAATTAATTAAAAAATACATACTTGACTTTTTGGCATATGGTTACGTTACGTTAATGATTTGACTGCAAAAATTAAATGAAAAAAAAATCTGAAATAAATACACAGCACGATATCTGAAGCAAATAATGGACTTAAATTGTATGTGTATGTACGTAGCACAACATTTCAAGTAGTTTCTTTTTTGAGTTGTAACAATTTTTAGCTGTACATAGTACTACGATGAACAAGTATCATTATTATTCGAAAAAAAAAAAAACTAAAATTGAAAAACATTTTTGCGCTACATTTATTCAAGTGTGTGTTTTTATAAATTTTTTAATTACATATTTCATTTTAGCATTTTATTATTATTTTTTTTTTTGGTTTATTTTTTGTTGCTGCAGTAATAAGTCATTTTAAGTTTTTAAACTTTGATATGAATGACATTAATGCATTAGCTAAAAGGGGAAATTTGGGAACACTTAAGCCTTTTTGTGGAGGAAAATTTTTGATATAAAAATTTCAATTCATCAATTAAACAGATATACGAATAATATTTAGACCAAATATTGAAACGCAAAGTTCCATAATAAAGATCAGGCGTGGAGGTTGCATACATTTTTAAGGACTCCGCAAATCCGGCATAACTTTTGACATTTGGTTTTTGATTATTGAAAATAAAATCTACAATTTGTTTATTATTTTGCTAACTGATCTTTGTTTACACTATATTCCTAATTTCTCATAAATTTTCTACCGGAAGTATAATAAATAAAATTTTCGAAACTTGTAAATTATTAACCTCCCATGATGAAAATTTTCTATTTATTTCGCTTTTTAAATATTTATTAAACCCACTTGCTTGTCTGTCTCTAGTAAATACACCGACACTCCGTTCGCTGTCGTACTCTTTTCTTTTTATCTTTAAATCTTTCCACGTTTGTAGACCGATCGTATCTACAAATTTCTTAATTTATTTTTGCACTGCAATAAAATTGATGTTCTACTTAAAGTTTAATTTCTTTTTTTTTTGTTTCTTCTTTTTTATTTATTGTTGATGTTTTATTTTGCACATGGAAACGCGTGAGTTACTTGCTCTACGATCCAAAACATTTTTTTTTTGCTTACAAAACAAGTAAAATAGCGAAGAAAAAAACATAAACATAAAAATAAAAAAAGACTGGCTTTTGTTGGCCCATTTTTTCAAGTTTCTATAGTGACATGTGGTGTTGTGCTTACTAGTCAAACTCTTCTCTTAGTTACCCCCTTCAACGACCATTTTACGTTCGATCTTTAGTTAAACTTTATCAATTGACTATTTTTGTATTGTGGTCATTTCTAACTTTTGTGCGTGCCAGCCATATTTGGTAGTTCTTGCATAATGTTAAATGTTTAGTGCAAAATTTTGTTTAAAAGTTTTTTTAAGTTTATTAATGTTTATTTAAAGTATAAATGAATAGAGTTTTATTTATTAGTTTTGCTGTAGATTTTTTACTACTTTTCTTCACCTTTTTGTTTAAATTCCAATTAACTTGCATGTTACGCATTTTAAATACTGATATTAACACTTTGGTAAATAGTTTTAGGTGAAGTTTATGGTAATATATAGTTCTTCTACAGTCAATTAAGAAACGCCCACTTGTTGTCGTCAACATTCCGAAAGACAAAACTAGAGACTAGACTTTAGACTAGGTTATAGACTAAACTATAGACTAGACTAGACTTTAGAATAGACTAGACTATAGACTAGACTATATACTAGACTATAGACAAGACTATAGACTAGACTATAGACTAGACTATAGACTAGACTAGACTATAGACTAGACTATAGACTAGACTATAGACTAGACTATAGACTAGACTATAGACTAGACTATAGACTAGACTATAGACTAGACTATAGACTAGACTATAGACTAGACTATAGACTAGACTATAGACTAGACTATAGACTAGACTATAGACTAGACTATAGACTAGACTATAGACTAGACTATAGACTAGACTATAGACTAGGACTATAGACTAGACTATAGACTAGACTATAGACTAGACTATAGACTAGACTATAGACTAGACTATAGACTAGACTATAGACTAGACTATAGACTAGACTATAGACTAGACTATAGACTAGACTATAGACTAGACTATAGACTAGACTATAG